TCTGCTGCAGAACGGCTGCGAGCTGGGAGCTGGGATACCCGCGCTCCGTCACCCAGGGGAGTCTCCACCCTCTCCCTCCACGCTGGGGAAGCCAGAGGGCTTTGTGGGGAGGGCAGGGCCAAGGACGAGCCTCAATTTCACCTTTCCTTCTTTCAGCTGAACAAGTCGTAAGCTGCAGCACAGCACCTCGTCGGGAGCTGGCCCAGCCCAGCTGTGTCGGTAGCGCTGGCATCTGAATGAAGTAAAGCATCTCCACCTGCCTGAGGCTCGCAGCGATGGCCGGGGCTGGCAGAGCTGCCAGGGTGGGATGAATGCTAGCGTGGAATGTCGGAAAAGGCTCAGCTGGTTGCGAAGCCTTCTCCCCCAGTGTCCTGTGGATGGGTACTATGTTTTCCTTCAGTTCCAAATGCCTGCAATAGTGCAAAGGCTTTTCTGAGCCCATCAGAGTGGGGTTTTCACAGGGTATGTGTGCGTGTCATTGATGTCATTATGGAAGGAACCAAAGCTGAGGCAGCCTTTGTTATACAAGGTAGGGGCACTGGTCCCCAGGTGAGGCTACTGGGCAGCGCAGGCCACAGCTTTCCAAGAGCTGTGCTAACATTTGGAGCAGTACTTCTCCCATGTGCTCCCTGACACAGTTTTGCTTTCCAGGACAGTGGTAGCTTCTGAGCCCAATAACCCCAAAGATGAGGTTGTCCAGGTTCTGGGGGATACTGAAGGAATTCCTTCCGTGCAGTTGGCCAGTGTCCCAGGTACCATCCCACTCGAGGCTCTGCCAGCGCTTTGACAGGAGCACGAGCCCACGCAGTCACAATCATTCTTCTTGGCAGACAATGCAGAAGAGTACAAGTTACAGATGGTTTCCAGTTAAAATCATGACTTTTATGCTCTCTCTTTCCTAGTGATACTCATCGCTATTTAGTGAACACCAAGGCAGCCTGTAAAAGCTATCCAGGACAGAACACCACCAGGCCATATTTAGCTGGCTGAAACCTCGGATAAGTAAGCATTTCATTGTTCAGGAATCATGCTCCCAGGATCTTTCCTTTGTCAATAATTTAATAATAATTAACCCTGTACTCAACACTTGCATAAGACTTATAAGCATGCCAGCAGCTAGTGAAGACCATTGCATAGTCCCAGTAGCATTTGAGAAGGTGCACATGTGACCAAATAGATGGAAAACACTGTTATCTCATTCAGGGAGCATATCTACAGCTTGGCCCCGAAACCTCAGCAGACCATTCATAGTATCAGATTTGGGCTATTCCCAGGCAACTTGGAGCAGGACTCAAAGGTGTACTAAGTAAGTTTGCCAACAATACTAGATTGAGAGGAGCTGTTGACTGCTTCAAAAGCAGAGAGGCCCTGCAGAGACACCTTGATAAATTAGAGGGCTGGGCAATCAAAAACTGCCTGAAGTTTAACAAAGTGCCAGATTCTGCACCTTGGACAGGGCAACCCTGGATGTGCAGACAGACTGGGAACAAGAGGCTGGAGAGCAGCACTGTAGAAAGGGCCCTGGGGGTTCTGGTTAAGGCCAAGTTGGATATCAGTCAGCAGTGCCCTGGCAGCCAGGAGAGCCAACCGTGTCCTGGGGGGCATCAGGCAAAGCATCACCAGCCGAGCGAGGGAGGGGATTGTCCCGCTCTGCTCTGCACTGGGGTGACCTCATCTCAAACATTGTGCCAGTTTTGGGTGCCACAATATAGGAAAGATATTAAGCCATTAGAGAGTGTCCAAAGGAAGGCAACAAGGATGGTGAAGGGCTTAGAGGAGAAGCCATATGAGGAACGGCTGAGGGCGCTTGATCTGTTCAGCCTGGAGAAGAGAAGACTGAGGGGAGACCTAATCAGGGTCTGCCAGTTTCTCACGAGTGGAAGCAGAGGGAGAGGCACCAATCTCTCGTCTTTTGTGACAAGTGACAGGACTCAAGGAAAGGGTATATGAAGCTATGTCATGGGAACTTCAGGTTGGATATTAGGAAATGGTTCTTCACCCAGAGGGTGGTTGGGCACTGGAACAGGGTCCCCAGGGAAGTGGTCACAACACCAAGCCTGACAGAGTTCAAGAATTGTTCGGACAATGCTCTCAGGTACATGGGTGTGATTCTTGGGGTTGTCCTGTGCAAGGCCAGGAGCTGGACTTCAATGATCCTTATGGGTCCCTTCCAACTCAGGATATTCTGTGATTCTCTAAATCAGAAAAAAACAAAGCATTTGCACAGGATACAGTGAGAGGCAACTGTTGCTCTCAGCATTACTGGCACTCATGCTGAAACAAAACAAACAACAACAAAAAAGGAGATGGAAAACTATAGTTTTGTTTGCACAGATATTTGCTTTACAGTTAAAACCCAATATGATTTGGGATTTTTTTAATTGTGGGCACAGGTATCCTTGAGGTCACTTCCGAGTGGGTCAAGTCACAGTTGTTCCTGTCTTCAGACATGGAGTAGACTGTCTGAAGGAAAGCCCCAGCTAATGCTTGGAGTCTGAAACAGTGAGTGACAGGAATTCAACATGTCTTTCTGCAGTTGCGGGAAGTGGCCAGGAGTTATTTAATTTCACTGGGATGTTTTCGCTCTTAGACATGTTTACTAGTGAAGGTGAAGGGACTGTGTTATCAACCCTGCTACCTGCTGAGAGTTGAATGATCTTGTGTGAAGATAATACAGAGCTATCTACATTCAAATTAGTAATAAAGGAAATACAGTGCAGGAACATGACTCCTCAGTGATAAGATTACAAATTTCATTGGAAAGAGACAGTGCAGACTTTGGCATCTCATCAGCTTTGCTACTAGAGGGTTCCCAGGGGGATCAGGTGAACCCAGGGTTCATGTCCTGCTGCAGGGCTCGAAACCTGTGCCCTCAGAATTGAGTGCAAAACTCAGTAATAAATTCTACTCTAACAAATTATTTTCTATCTTACTGTCTCCAAGGCCATGCTTGCCCCAGGTGCATATTTGTCAGACAAGAATGCATGACAAATATTCATAAATTTTTCCTCATCTATCTTCAGACTAACCTATGGTGTATCAAAATTACTTGTTAGTAACTGATTAAACATGTTCAACCTTTCACACTTGTGTTTTATGCTTGCTCAGATGTGTGGCACACCCATATCATACAGCTGACCTTTGGTCAGTTCACAATATAACATCCCTGAGATGTTATACACATCATAAGAAAGCTATCTCCTTATCAGACAATGCTTCCAAACAGCTTGCATGTGCTGTTTAAATATTAAATCTGACAGAAGGTCACCACCAGCTGTCCGTTAACTGAGACAGAACCTGGAATCTGTGCAGCTGCCACACCTGCCTTCTTTGTTTAGAGGTGAACAAGGCTGTGCACCTTCACCCCAGCTCTGGGAGGCAACGTTTAAAAACATAATAAAAATTTATTAGAAAGAGGAGAAAATAACAAGTCTTATTTGAGTAATTGTCATTGAAAGACCTGAAGTAAACCTTGAGGGAGGCCTGTGGAGGTTGAATCTAATGTTGCTCAATATGATGCTCACCAGGAATTTTCCTGAGCTGCAAACCAGGCTGGCACGATACTGTACAGTACTTCCAGCTTGGCATCAGATGCAAATCTCTCAGGCGTCCTTTTGGTCTGTCCCATTAGCCCTAAAAATAACATGACCGTCCTCTCCCCTGTAAGGCTTAATATTCCCACATCGAAATATTTCAACCATGCCCCAGAAAGTACCAGTTAAATCACCACGATGTTAACATCACACATTTTACTTGAGTGGCAGGTTCCCCAGCAGGTTTCCTGCTGCATAGAGTGAGCTGCTTTTCAGCCCTCCTGAATTTAGGGTTAGAGCTATACTCCTCTGCAACTCTGCTTTGTCTTACGGGTGTCTTGCCTCTACCTTTCTTTTTAGGCTGAAGCCTGGCTCACTTAAAAATTAACATACCCAGGAAAGATCTAAGAGCTCTCTGTTTCCTATCAGTGAACACAACGGTCCCTAGGGCTGCTACCACCAGCTCCTTCTAACAACAGCTCTCCGTGTCCACTGTCGTACTTTCCTTCCCAGCTCTCTGATTTCTTTGAGACAGTAAGTCCCAGGGAGGGAGTTGAAGCACCACAGTGGCAAGCACTGCACCCACTGTGAAATGTCCTGAACACAATTACGTAGAAGAGCAAAGAAAACTTGATAGATACCCTCAGAGTTTTTACATCCATTCATCGCTGTTCTAATACATACAAGGGACTGACACGTTTTCCTTCTCACTGTTAAATTGCTGTGATCTTGTACCTGGGCAGAAATGTGTTGTCGTGGGGGCATTGCCTGTGGGCAAACAGCAGCAGCAGGGCATTATTGAAGAACACTTTCTCCTTCCTAGGCGGGATATCTCGCATCCTTCTTCCCTGATGCCCTCTAGTGACTGACACTCTGCTCTCCTGGCTCACGGAGGATTCCTAAAACACACTGCTGCTCAGGGGCCAGGCCCAGAGGAAGAAAAGAGGTATCATCGAGTTTAGCCATTAGTAACAGTGTGGGATATGAAACTGGGTGGTCTGGTTTACTTTCCTGTACTTCATGCAGGCAGCAGTACCACTGCTCTGCCCCAGGTGAAACAAAAACAAAGCAGTGACAAAAGTGCTTCTTGAAAATGTAGAGAATCACTTTGGAAAAGTAGGAAGGCTGTTTCAGGAGGGGCTTGCATTAGCTGTGCTTTTACCACCACCCAGCACATTAATACTCACACTGCATTAGCCTTGAATTAAGAGCGTGCCTGATCTGCTGATTGGGGTCATGCCCTTATATACTCTCTGGCAAACGACCTCTGCTCTCTGACTCACAGA